CCTTAATTTTTTTTATGCCCTGTATTTATGTATATCCTTAATATGCTTGATGGTGGATCATTTTTATACTATTGCAATCCATGCCAGTATACCGGTACATACTTCAGTTGTATCCTCCACATATATATGAATATATCTTCAGAAGTCTGAACTGTTGGTGCCCGCAGTGTGTCGGCGGTGATGTTTGTCCCTCAGCCCTGTTTTCTGCTTTCCTACGTCAGTCTGGAGTCTAGAGTGACTCTGAGCTGCGGGGCCGCCTCCACAGTGCTGCAGCCCAGCTGTGCAGCTGTCCTTGTCGGCATCACTCCCTGACCAATGTGTTTCTGCCTGTGCGAGAGGAGAAATATCATGTGCAATTACCTGCATGTGTTGGTCCTTGCTCGTTGGAGATGCTTATGATGCAGCTGAACGTGCAATTGCGTCTTCCCTTAGGTTGTGTATGATAGCAATGCATCAAAGACCTTGCCAGTGGTGTGTTCTAATGGGTTTTGGATTCAACTTTCATATTATTATGTAAATAGAGGACTCCTTGATGTAGTATCAGCACAGCCATCACAGAGGCTGGGAGGCCCTTATCAGGAAGACATTGAGGGAAGAAAATACACAGCACCTGAAAGTTAATTAAAAAGCCGTTAGAAACAAGCAGCTCTCTACTGTCGTGTTTGTTTGTCTGTTGGCCTGCTGGTTTGTCTCGTTCTCCATTCCTCCAGTCTTCCCTCCCTGCAGTCACAAAATGAATGCTTTCATTACAGTGACAAGTTCTCGGGCAGTCTCTTACTACTAGTGTCGACTCGCTTTATTGCCAAACTATTTACATGCCAAGAGGAAGAGTTTGCTATGGCTTGATGAAAAAGCACTTGAATTTAGGCTTTTAATTTGTATACCATTTATTACTCTCTAAGGCACAAAAGGGAGAAGAAGTTCCATCCCTCTCTGCTCCCAACTCCTTCTGAACTTCTTAATCAGTGGATTAACTTTACTTTTGCTTTTTTGTCTCCCCAAAAAACGGACGTCCTACTGTCTTTTCACTGTCATTTGTTAAAGAGTTCTTACTCAGGCCATCATAAGGAAGATTAAATACTGAGAGCAAAGGGAAACGAGAAAGTAAAGCGGCTTATGAATCAATGACTGCATTTATTAGTGGTGTAATTAGATTTAGGGAGTGGGCATTGCTGCGTGGTGAGATGTGTGGGGGCTGGGCTCACTCCTTATCAGTCATCAGATATTCCGTTTGCTCCAGGACGATACCTCCTCGGCTCATGTAACACAGAATATGTATAAAAGCATTACGCGGAGAATGGTCACTTTATGCTGTCAACCTAAGAATGCCTTTTATGTGCTATGTACTGTTTAATTTAGTGCCACATCAAAGTGACAGTCAAGAACAAGAGATGTGTAGCATTTTAATTGCTCCTTTTTTCTGGTTGTCATTACAACTGAATTATATTGGCCATTCCAGAATTACTTACCTTATTATTAGTGCTGTCAATCGATTAAATTTTTTAATCGCGATTAATCGCATCAATGCCTGAGTTAACTCGCGATTAATCGCATTTTAATCGCACATTTTTTTCCTGATTGAAAATCATTTAAATACTCTCGATGACATACAAAAAAATACATACAGGCTAGGTTTGTGCCAATGTTCTTTTTTTTAAATGAAAACAGGTCACAGATACTGATTTATGCCATAGAAACATATGGCAAGAAGATGGGGAGGCATGTAGCAAAAAATAACAAATATGTAGCCAAAAAAAAGGCCCTGAAAACAGGCTGATGTAAAAGACAGTCTTTGCAGTTAATACAGTCTTTTGAACAAAGACAAGCATTTTATCCTACTGCTATAAAATTTAGTAGAGTTAAAATTAGATGTTAATTAACCAAGGTAATAATGAACAATTTTCAATCAATACATCAAAATCAATAGACCGACATCACTAGATGAAGGTAGTCTATGCTCTCTAGAAAGTTACTTTTCAGCCTCTTAACAAAAATGAGAACACACACACACCCACTCACCCACACACAGACACACCCACCCACACACACACACACGCGATACCGACGTGTTGCGTACACAGACGGCAAGAGTGCTGCTACGAGATTCCATTTCACCTCAGTAATCAGTTTTCTCAGCGTATTTCAGGTTGCTACTAGTTACCAGACACTCAACTTGTTTGTTGGTGGTGGGGCTTAAAGAAAAGGCACTAGCGTCACCCAGTGTATGAGCGTCTTTTTCCCTTGAGGAGCTCCGCTCTTGAAGCCTATGAGAAATGCATAGACTGGGGGAAAATAGCCCCGCCTTCCCGCAGGCTGCAGCGGGATGTACTTGGAAAAATTGTACCATAAAACCACATAGCGTTAATCTCACGTTAAAAAAATTATCGCCGTTAAAATGGCCTCGCGTTAACGCGTTAATAACGCGATAATTTTGACAGCACTACTTATTATGTACTTTGTCTTATCCATTTCAGCCCAGACACTTACAGTCCTTTCACAACAAACACTTTGAACACTTTTTACTGTGCAAGAGTTTAGCTTTTTAAACCATCCCAGTCCTTGGAACTAATAAAAGAACCATATTCTGGTACAGATAAAACAGCCGGTTTGAGCATGGTTTATCCAAACCTTGGATTTCTTTGCTTGCAGTGCGAATACATACTGGTTCCTAGAAATGCATTGATACCGGGATTTTACTAACTTGGGGCGACAGTGGCGCTGGAAGCCCTGCATCCAGAGGGTTGTCGGTTCAAGCCCCAGCTCCAGTTTTTTGTGTTGCTGTGTCCTTGACACTTCACCTGCATTCCCTACTGATTGTGGTCAGAGGGCCCGGTGGCGCCAGTGCACGGCAGCCCTGCTTTCTGTCAGTGACTCCTGGGACAGCTGTGGCTACAATGTAGCTTGTCACCCTCAGTGTGTGTGTGAGTGTGTGTGAATGAATGGGTGAATGACTGAATTAGGGCTGAAACAATTAATCGGATTAATTTCTGATTGTCAACTAATTTAGTAATCGGTTAACCGGGGTGTAGAGACTCTAAAACATGCGCTTGGCTTTGCAACCATCTTGCAGCAGTAAGTATACCAAAATTGTAAAAAATTATAAAAATATTTTGTATTTAAATTAGAAAAAAAACTTTTTTGTTTTTTTCTTTATCTTTTTTCTGTCAATATACTCTATCCAGAACTCCACAAGTAGAAAAGTTTCTTCTTTAAAGAACCTTTTGCTATCCAATTATTATTGATTAACTAAATAAATAATCCACAGGTTAATTGATTATCAAAATAATTGTAAGTTGCTAGACTAAATGTATAAAGCGCTTTGATTCAGTCTCCTGTCTCAGCAAAGCGCTACAGAAGTACAGGCCATTTACCATGTATTTAGCCCTTAACTAGCTGTATCAGATAACAGTGATTTTACAGTTGATAACAATCCAGTGCACTTTACATTGAACTGCTATTTCTGTCTTTTTGCAGCCTATTTATTAACACATAATATAAAGTAGCCAATAAGCACATTTATATATGTGCTTCTTGGCTACTTTTTTTAAACAATGTTTATGTCTAATCTAAAGCCTTTAAACACACGACAAAAAGTATGGTTCATTCATTTAACAGTTGAATCGGATCGCCATCAGATGTCAGCCGATACGCGTAGTCCAGGTATCGATCAGATTGGATTGGAAAAAAAAAAACTTAATTGGTGCATCTCTACTGGTCCCAACATACCAAAAGCAGGAAGAAAGGATGTGTTGGAAGTCTTAAGGCTACCGAAAAAAACAACAACAACAAACCTTTTAAAATATGTTTTCGAGATAATGAGGTGAAAGGCTACTGTATATAGTAAGTTGGTGGAACAATGTTGCATATAGCATTTTATTGTGCGCATGGTGCCAGAAGGTGATGGATAATTTGCTTTTGGTCCGGCCCAATCTAAACTCATACATCCTTTTGTGTTGTTTATTCCTTTCAGTCCGCGCAGTACTGGAGTGATAGAGTCCCTGAAACAGTCCCTTACAAATGCATGACCTTATATGCCCTTGTCTAAAAATCTATGAATGAAAGCAAAGAGGGTTGTGAGGGACTGAGCCAGCCAAGGGTGAGGACACAGTGGTGATTATCAAGAAAAATAGGTTTTAGTTCCCCAAAATAACAATAAGAATTACAGGGCCTTTAAAAGAGGTAAAATGAAGAGACTAACTTAGGGCAAAAAATATCAAGGTTAAACAAAACATAACCTCAAACTAACTGCACAAACAAAACTGACCTGACACACAGCAAACAAAGGAGACTTAAATACTGGCTGATCAGAGCAGACTGAATCACTGAGGAAGAGGTAGGGAGAAAATCTACACAAATTGAACAAAAAATAACTAAACGGTTAGCTTAAGGATTAAACGTAAAATACTATTACTAAACAAAATCAACAAAATGAGCAACAAAACAAAAGCAAAAGAAGAGATTATGCAGCATATTAAAAATGTGGAGTCCATGATCTTCCCCCATAGTGGAACTCCAGATTTTACCACCCAATCAGTCAACGAGTATGTCAGCCAGAGTCCTTTGTATTCTCCCAGTTGAAGGTACTTCCACAACACCAGAAAAGAAAGCACAAACAATATTAAGCATTTGACAAAATTAAATATAAAAAAAGTTAACTAAATGTGCGCGCTACAATTGGAACTAATGTCTTCTAATTTTGTCAAAATTAAAATAAACAAACCAACACATTTATGCTACTTTGTGTTAAAACTTTAGTGAAAAAGTGGTTGTGTGTGGGGTTACTGACCATGTAACCATAACAAGTTTGTTTGAGTTTCTATGTATAATCTAACTTTTATTTTTAACAACTAATGCATTGAAAATTTCTTGCTTTGACACTTATTGATTCAGTAAAAGTTACCACACCAAAGAATGTTTAGCTTAACTAATACCTAGACTGAAATCTTAAATAAGTCAAGGTACTGGACATAACATTAATTCTTCTATTTCTTCTCTCTAAGAACATCCATCTGGTTGCTCGTTGGCTGGGCACCCTGGAGAAACTCCTCGAGCAGTATGCAGAGGGAAGCCATGAGAACTTTAGAGTGTTTGTCAGCGCTGAGCCATCCTCCAGCCGCGAGGGTCACATCATCCCTCAAGGGATTCTGGAAAACTCCATCAAGATTACGAATGAAGCACCTACTGGTATGCATGCCAACCTGCACAAAGCCCTCGACAACTTCAACCAGGTAACTCATTCAGCTTGCAGATACTGATGCATCTGGCTACTGTGTGGATAATGTTCAAGTTAAGGTCCTAGGCTGTAATAACACAGACCTCTGTTGAAATTTGGCTCACAGGATGGGTTCATGAGAACCAGATGACAGAATATTTTAACATCCAGTTGAGGTTTCACCCACTGTGGCAGTTTCTGGTCAACACTTTGATGAGCAATATATCAGTGTTTTAATACTGTCTGATCTCATAGTTAGAGATCTCATTAAATCTCTGGTGTTTATACATCTTTGCAGGCCAGCTAACAGCCTTGGGTGTGCCCGGGACAGAATTTATGATTTGGGGCTCATCAATTCATGCTTTCTATGTACTGTATATATGCATAAATTGATCAATATTTGAATGAGGTCTTGCCTAAGATGTTAGATTTTTTAAGTAACCTTTTCTGGAAGCAAGAGAGACAAATTTAATAGTTAGTTAAATAAGTGAAAAATATTTAATATTTTATTTATTAATGATAAAAAAAAACATTTAATGCAAGCATCTCAAGTAACATTTAAATGTTTACATTTTAAAATAGAGATCTTTCCAGTTTTTCATTCATAAAATGTGCGGGACACTTGGCTTTCCATACCTGCTCCAGTCGCATTTGATCCAATTTATAGATTTTAACAAGTCTGATTTCTACTTGTGTGGCATGTTTAAATTGGACCACAACATGTTCTGGTCAAAATCTTTCTTATTTAGTGAAGGCTGTATGGTAGGATTGTCTATTTCTTTACGTCGACTGCAGCATTGTTGCAGCCGCAGATGCACCATGTAGTCACGTCAGTCAAATGAAAAACTTCTCAAACTCCTAACAATACCCATTGGTCCGGTCTTAATTATAACTTAATCTAGCAAAGATGGGGAACAAACCCTTGACAGTAACTGTTGAGTGTTTTGCTCCATCAGAGGGCTTAGAAGCTATTACTGCCTTCTCAGGCTTTTGCCGGTGAGATCGATCCAAAGTTCTGTTTGATCCAAAGCTGTTCCTGCGGCTTGAGGCGGCTTCTTCATGTGAGAGCCACTCTACCCTTCATGTTAAAGGGATGGAGCTGCTGCCTGACTGTGTACAGAGGGTAAGAGTCAGGTTCTGTATTTTCCTGTCTCCACCTGCAGCACAGCTAGCCTTATGTATAGCAGCTTGATAAACTTCAGAGAAACTGCACCAGCAGCATAACCAGTTAGAAGGAATGGCTGGTGGGGGGACTTCCCAATACTGCAGTGGATAATATGAAGCAAGTAATAATAGGAAAAGATTTTATGAAACTTAAGAATAAAGCTCCAGTTTCCTTGCAAACATCTTTAAAAAAAATCAGAAAAATCAGCCGCCTACAAAAGATGTAGGCGGCTAATTAGGGTTCCCTCTCTACCCCCCCATCAGCAGGCGTGCCTATATGCATGTTACTCTCACAAGGATGCCTCATGTATGAATATTTATGGATATATCCATCTTGATTAAGCCATACAAATTTATAATACTTGAATGCAGCCATGGTAAACAATAATTTTAGGAAGAGTCACATTTCTTATTGTCTTTAAAGATTTCTTTTATATGCATGTTTACTTTGAAAATTGAGATTTAGGTTACTAAGGGTATTCATCCTAATTGTAAGAAAAACTTAGCACCGTATCAGGAAGGTAATTTGTTTAAATTGCCTCAAGTAGAGGTAAATATTTTAACTGCAAAGCCACCATTAATACGTTTTTTTAATGTTTTAAATTCAGCAAATGATTCACCAAAAAGTAAAAAGCAGTGTCTAAAATTAAAAATACATTGGATTTTATAAGATCAGTGTCATATTTTTGTGCGTGTTTTTAATGGTGTAAAACTTCTAGTTTAAAATAACCATTCGACTAAATACATTTCAGTTTCATTTGAGATATTTAAAATCCTTGCCAGCAATGTCTGATCTCTTAATGAAAAGAGGAAGAATTTCTTCTGTGTTACTCCTTCTACGTTATATTCTATTATTTTTGTCCTGCACAAGCCTTAAGGAAGTGGGAAATGATCTTGGGAATCCAAAACATTATAAATCTGTGGGTAGAAAGAAGCATTAACATTCTTTACGTTAAACATAAACATGAATTTACCATCTTGAACCTTGCTGGGTTTTTTTGGGTCCTTTATTGATTCAGTTCAGCTTTCTAATGTCTGACTTTTCTTTGTTACACTTGTGGAGTTATGATCAAGATGGACAGATAAACCTAAAAAGACTATTTTCACAGAACAATTTAAGAACCCATTGTAGGAGATTGAAATATCTTAAGGCACTTGCCTTTTATACGTTGTTAAATCTTCTCTGCAGATGTTGTTCTTTTAGTTTCTAGTTACAGGTGAGTCGAGACACTTTTAGTCTTCCCAAAATGCCAAATAAGTTGTCAGCAAACAGAAAGTGGAATTCAATTTTAGTTACTAAGTTTGTTTTGGCATTTCGTGACATAAATAATGGCATTGCTGAAATAAAGATGTTGTACAGTTACATTGAATCACACGGAGGAAATACCTGAAGATAAATGTACCAAAAATTAGCAACTTTGAGTCTGCGTTATCAGGAAAAAGTGAGGCAACATTACGCTCCCAGACTGTTCTGCAGCCTCCCTAGTTAGAATGGATCAGTGTGCTACAGTGGCCTCCTCAAGTGTTTCTCTACCTTATCGGCTCTTGGTCTCTATCTAAGCCTTACCATTACCTCAGTGCTTTGCTGCCAATACATCATCCCCCGCACCATTACCTGACCTCTTGGCTACGTCTCGATCCATTTCCACAATCCTTAGTTTGCTGATGTGTATCTCGCCTGATAAGTGCAACATGTTTGTAAGCCCTGCCTTATGCAGAGCCACGGGGAGGTCTGCTGAGGTTATACCTGGAGAATATTCTGGTCATGTGTTCTCACTGAGACTTAATCAATGGCAGCCTGACTTCAGTTATAGACCACCGGCAAAGCCAAAGCCAGAGAAACATTTCTTTGTTTTATCACAATTCTCTGACTTATTGAGTCCCCAAACCTCTGTGAAAAAAAATGATATAGCTTACCGAAAGCTAAATTCTAGAGAATATGTATTGGTTTCCAATTACTTGTTGTCCTATTCAGTTCTATCATTCTTTAAAGGTAATCAAACTCTAAGATTGTCACTCTGACACTTAGTGATGTAGAAGTGTCCTCTTAGGGTGTGTTTGTGAATGTAGTGTGTGATTGTGTGTGTACTAACAATCTTGCAGCATTTTGTTTCTCTCTAGTCCACAGGTCATGGATAGAGAGGTTATGCATCTCTTTCAGCTGTGTTGAGCAGAGGAGCACCGTGCAGAATATTAACTAAACCTCAAACAACGGGTGTGTGTGTGTGTGTGTGTGTGTGTGTGTGTGTGTGGCTGCAAGCTTGGACTCTACTTATTCACTCTATGTGCGCATCGTAGCAGTCAGTTCCCCAGGGCACTGCAGTAGGGGGATATGGGGGCTTTTACTGTGATACTCAGCTTGCTACATCCTTAAAAAAAAGGAATTTACTCCTCCTGTTTCCATAGGGGTTATTGGGTTGCTTATTTAACTGACCCCACCCCCCAAAATCCCCTGAGATTACAGTGCCATTTAGGCATTTATTTTTCTTCTTTTTGATTTGCCTGTCTAGAGTAATGAGCCTAGGAGACAGTTGGAGGCTGAAAGCGGCTGACAAGTTGTGACAATTAAAAATGAATCTCATGGTTGGCTTTATTGCCATCCAGTACACTCATTGTCTGCGCTGCATCAGGAAGGATTTGCCTGAAAGAAAATGATCACAGAGCTGTCTGCCACAAGTTTTTCACCTCTAACACATTGATGAGGAAATCATTATAGGTAGAACTGCCATTTCACAGGATGATTCAGTGTTGGCTTCTTGTGAATGATATGAGGCTTTAGCAATGCTATAAGGAAAAGCTATGACTCCAACCTGTTTTTTACATTGCTAAAGACTTAACATAACAGTTTAGTCAAAAACCTCTGTAATTCTAATGTTTTGTTAATGATTTTTTTTATAATAACCAAACAAAAGTATGTTTTGTTTATCACAAGACTCAAATATTGAGGTAGGTACAAAATATGAAGCTACTTTAAACATTTGGCTTCATGGAAGAACCTTTCATATGAATACATTTGTTCTTCACTCATTCATTGGAACGTTTTAGGAGAAAATGTCCTATTCACCATTTTTTTGATATTATTAAATTTTCAGAGTGCTCCAGACAAGATTTAGGATCTTGCTCAATCAGTCAGCTGTTATTCAAACCTAGTTTTTTACTAAATTACTACATTTGTTGTTACTTACTGTAGAAGCTTCTGTCCATTTTATTAGGCTACCTTTTTATATATTATGTAGCTAGGCAATTATAAATTACACTTTCAGTGACACTGGTTTAATTTGTTGTAATTCCGTCAAACGAAAGAACAGTCAGAGAGCTCTATGTTAGCTCAGGCTACTATTGAAATAAAATCTGGAACAGACTGACAGACAGACACGGATAGACATTTGAGCAACAGGGTGACACCTGCAGTTATTTCACTGCATGGCAGCTTCTTGGCTTTTTTATTACACAAAATGTGGAATGTTTAGGTTTGGGTCCGTCTGAATTCGTCAAATTAGAATTTTTTGCCTTTAGCATTTTTATGTATATGCATGAGAGAGGTGGAGAGTGCAATGAAGGAATGACAGATGGTTCAGAGATGTACAATAAAAAGCGTGTGTGTTTATTAAAAGGATACTTTGCAAAAAGTTGTCGTGCTGGTGGATAGTAAACTTATATTAGCAATTACATCGTTGTACCTCTTTCCTCTATTAGTAGTTTTCATTGAGATTTTGGTTGAAGGTTAAGGTTAAGGTTAATTGGCGTCTCTAAATTGTCCATAGGTTTGAGTGTGTGTTTGCATGGTTGTGTGTCTCTGTATCGCCAATGCAACAGACTGGCAACCATTTATGGGTGTACCCCACCTCTAGCTGGAGATAGGCGCCAGCCCCACTCAGACCCTGAGGAGGAGGATGGATGGATGGATGGATGGATGGATGGATGGATGGATGGATGGATGGATGGATGGATGGATGGATGGATGGATTGATGGATTGATTGATTGATTTGCGAGACAGCCACAAGGATAATTCTCTCCCAAGACAATCTCCAGAAAAAGCTGCAAGAACAACACATTGTTCTTTGCTGGTGCAAAGAGGCAATGTAAAAACTACTATCTATCAATTCATGTAACCTAATAAAGTAAAATGCTGAGTTTAACTGAACAGAACTTTATGAGACTCGATTGTCGTAGAGAAAGATTGCCATTGCATTAAAATATCAAAAGATGTGTGCCGAAAAACCTCATAATGCAGTTACACTGTCCTTTGCTTCTCCAGGAATCACTTGACATGTGTGCACGGGAGAATGAGTTCAAAAGCATTTGGTTTGCTCTCTGCTACTTTCACGCTGTGGTTGCTGAAAGGAGAAAATTCGGCCCTCAAGGTTGGAACAGATCATATCCCTTTAACACTGGGGACCTGACCATTTCCATCAATGTCCTTTACAACTACCTGGAGGCCAATCTCAAAGTAAGTACCCCTCGCCTTTCTTTCTTTCTTTCTTACTTACCTTGTGCTGAGGATTACAAAGAAAACCGTTTGTGGTCTTAATTGGAAATGTGAACTTGTGTGACATCCCAAAGAGCTTCGGGCGAGCAACATCTCCTGGCTTTGTTATTGCCAGGTACCATATGATGACCTACGCTACCTATTTGGGGAGATCATGTACGGGGGTCACATCACGGATGACTGGGACCGACGTCTGTGTCAGGCATACCTGGAAGAGTTTATCAAGCCTGAGATGATGGAGAGGGAGCTGTTTCTAGCGCCTGGCTTTCCCTTGCCTGGGAACATGGATTACAACAGCTATCATCAGGTGAGGAAAAAAATCACCACACCATGAAGAAAACCTTAAGTGAAACCATTCCCACCACCAAAATTACAGCAACAAGTTAAAAGAAAGTTTGAAAGAATTGGATCAACTGGTGAATGGACATTAACCCATAGATAGATCCCAAAAGAATGTGTGGATTACTCCACCTACCTATTCCACACACTGATCTCTATTTATTCACAGGATTGCTGACAGGCCGTTGGTAGTACACGGTGCTGTGAAGTCACCAGTCGCCATATTGGTACTCCCTAGTTAGATTGGTCTGCATATAAACAATATGTGTGCTACAGCATCGAGCGACAATGATGTTCTCATCTTTAGTGTGGCTTAAGACTTTTACAACAAAGATAAAGTCATCACTTTGACACACACTTGTTGTTTCATAGCATCATTAAATTACTGTAATTTATGATGAATAATAGGCACATAATATTGCATAGTCAGTCCAAGTAGGTAAGTGATTAAGTTCATGAAGTCTATAAATCATGTAATATAACATGTTATACAAATCCATCACAACAAAATTGGTGTGTTAATGGAGCATAATAATACCGTACTTGGATATTAAAAATATTACACTGCCACACATACACACACACACTATCTGATAATGTGCCAAAAGTGCTAAATTGAAGATGTACTTGTAATATACATGTATTGATTACATTCTTATGGTAATTACATTACATTACATTACAGGCATTTTTATGGCACTGCTCTGTGAAAGTGGGGGGTACCAATATGGCAGCAAGTGACTTCAGTTTTTTCGGCCTATCATCAATCCAGTGAATAAATAGAAATAAGTGGTTCCACACTTTAAAATAATAAAAAAAAAAAAGATCTGTAGTAAAACAGAAAAGGTCGTGGTAATATTCTGCCAGGACCTTTTCTGTTTTTTTTTTTTTTCTGTTAAAAAATTGGTATACATTCCTGATATAATTTGTTTCACAGAATTTTTTTCTCCAAATGTTTCTCTGATGTAAATGTGGCTAAAACGTTGCCCATTGTCATCAGTGGAGTTGAACTCTAAAGTTAAAAGATCTGTAAAAACAAGTTATAGAAAATTCCTTCAAATGAATACTTTATGCTGTGAATTTACAGATATTTCTTACAGTCCAGAGGGGCCTTTCTGTGCCCTCTGCAAATTAATGAAGGTTTCAGATGTCTCTGACTGAGCAGCTATAATTAATAGGTCTTTCTCCATCATTCTTCCCTAGGCACTGTGTGGACGTACACAGTTCAATGCTAAATCAATACTTATAAAACTATGTGTAGGTCCCTGAGAAATTACAGATCGTAGTTTAGTTATATTAATATGCCTCACAGCCAGAGTTGTTCTGTGGGTGGAGGAAGTTTTGCACCTAGTATAAAGTAATCTATCTTAAAAGTTATAAAAGGCAACGCTTTTACATGTTTACAGTGAAATAATTTTGTGATAATAATTTTGATACATTTTTTTTTCATTCTATGAACTATTTACAGTATTTATCAGTTTAATGTTATGGTTTTTCTTATTTTTTTTTTAATACATAATAACACTTTACATTTCATTGCTGCCAATCTTATTTTTGTTTTCTCTTGAGAATTAGTTCTATTGGTTATCCTTTATATTTTTCTGAGGTTTTTTTTTTTTTTTTTTTGACAAACACCCATTTAAAGGCTTATAAACTAGCATATTTGATTGATCAGTCACCTTTTTATGCCGACATGCTAATAGACAGGTGTCTTTACAGAGACAAATTCTCCAATACAGGCAATTTTCAAATATAAAGTTCAGGTAAATCAAAAGCTTAAATCCATCTCTCTCATTATGAAAAAATAACTTAAAAAAACCACTTGAAAACATCTGTGTTTGTTTTGATTAGTTTGGTCTTACCACAAAACAAAGTACAATACAGAACTTAAATAATTTTCCTATAAAAATAAAATGTACCGCTACTCGTCACTCACCTGTTGACACTTTTAACAGCCCCACCAGGCATTGCAAATCATTCAGTTCTGACCTTTTTATATCTTTTTTTTTTAATATTTATATTTTTGTATCCCTCCATATTTCCACTGCTCGCCCTGTACTACAGTCGTATTCTACTGCACCAAAGCTCCCAAACCTTTTGTATGCTGCTGACACTTTGACAAAGAAAAGAGACAGTAGCATCTTCAAGCGCCTATATGTCATTTTTATCAACAATTCTTGCATTGTTTTGGTGTGGGTTGATTTCCAGTAAAACATTAAAGTAACAACATTATAATGCGATGATGCTTTTATTTACCAGGGTCAGGGGAACTGTTCTGCATTAATGGCAAGATGAGCAGAGCTGAATACAGGACCATTAATGATAAACACATGTTAAAAGCTGCAAAACACTTGCGAATAGGACAGATGTTTACCTTCCAGCTGCTAAATTGCATTGCAGCAAAGGGAGACTAAACACCCTATGACTTAAAAGATGTGAACACGCTTCAGATTTTTTATTGGGTAAAAAAAGCGGAACCTCTAAAAATAATCAGGGTAAATTATACCTAAACTTTACATTATTTTAAAGCTCTTTAACTTAGAATTATAAGCAATCAGGATATTGTCTAGTTGCTGCTTCTTCTTAGCATGCCTTCCTTTTTTCTGTCCAGCACTTTATCACTGAACACCAACCTTAATTGACTGGATTAAATCACAAGTAGTTAAAATGTATGTGTGCTGTGTCCCACGGTGATGTGATATGTGAGCAATAGTCAGTTTAGATTCTTCCTATACATTTTCTAGGGAGCTAAAGGAGTGGGATGTTTGATTTGGATTTAATTTCCCCCTAGTCTGTGAGCTGCTTGGTGATCACAAACAGATGTATTAAGCAGCTCCGGAGGGAAAAACTCCCCCTTTTTTTTTTACTTTTGTGTGTCACAACACTACTAGTTTGAGGCTGAGTAAGAAGGAAGTTTGGCAAAACAACAGGAGCTCTACATGTGCTCCAGGTCCTGGACAATCTTACAACTATCCAGGCCAAACTCTGCGGAGCAAAAGAAAAATAAGCACACAGAAGTGCATCACTCTAAGCATTTTTGTTTATTCAGTATTTAAGAAATGCTATCAGTCATCGTTCTAAACAATCGATTAAAGAGATCAAAGAAGAGCGTAAAAAGAGATCTTATTCTAAAATCCAGGTAATACTTTTCCCCCTGACATTAAAGGAAGGTTTTTAATCCATTACACCATATTGGCACTCATTTTTAATCCAACGAGTTCTTAGCCATCAGCTAAATATCATTTTATCTTTATGAAAAAAGTAGATAGAAAACACTTTTCCTTCTCCTTAGTATAGCTGTCTTCTGTGTTTGATTTAATCGTCTGAATATCACCCATTAATATATGTGGTTCTGTGCTTGTGCTTTTTTGGCAGTTCTGTGCAGATACAACTGTCCTGAGATTTAAAAAAAATGGTTTTCAAACTATTGAGTTACATTTCTAAAAGTAGCCTATTATACTGTGATATAAAGTGCTGTTAAAAAGTAGCAACAAAGAATTCTCAAAAGGGGTAACACTTAGTGATCTCCTGTGTTTTTGTTTTCTGTTAGTCTGTTATATCCCTCTGGAGGAATCTGAGTTATTCTTCTTCACACCGTTGGTTTAAAACAATGAAATATTGGGCTTTTCTGGTATAAATTTGTGTCTTTAAGGTCATGCTACCTTATTTTAGTCAGAGGGAAAGGCTATATGTTGAATAGGCCACTACAGGATCCCTGTTTTTGTTTTTAAAGTCAATTCAAAGGGTAAAGCTGCTGGTGTGCTTCAGCTCATTGTCCTGCTTAAATCAAGAGTGATTGAAGCTTTGGTCACAAACTGATATCCCAAAATATTTCCCTGATAATTTTATGAGGCAAAGAAGAATTCCCAACAAGTACAGTTAATCACCTGGAGCAGAGGTCATGGATAACCGGACTGCGGTACGGATCCGGACCCACCTGCTGGCTAATCCGGACCCAACCTATTTAAAACATTAATAAATTACTGCATGTTGTCCAACAGCAGTGTCTAATTTCGATTGTGCCGCTTCTCCTTTTTGTACGGTAAAGCCCTCCAAAGCATCCGGCACCAGGCTGCGCGTGATCCAAAATAGCCAATGAGCTGCTGTCAGTCTGGGTTGCTGCTGCTGCTACTTTTAGACACAGCAGGAAAACCTGTGACAAACCTTGCGATGGGAAAGTAGGAGAAGACTACGAGAATAAGTGAAAGAAAGTGTGGGCTGCTGGAAGAACTGTGGTGAACTGGTGACAGAAAAGTGAAATGGCGTGCTCAAAGATAAACCTGCATATTTTGAGTACGTATGTTTGCCTCAACCTACTGCTGTGCACCTTGAAAAGTAGTGATCATCCATGATCACTAGACAAGCTGATATATCCTGGAATGCTTTGTGAGAGCTCTCCTTGCAAGGCATCATGGGATTTGTTTTGGCAGCGATAAATAACAAAGATCACATGTGCACCGTGAGGGGAGGCAGAGTTACATGACAAATGCGAAGAAAAAAGCAGTGATCATCTGTCCGAACAGTAAGTTAACTGATTTCACTATAAAGTCCACTATATAGTCCCCACTCTATATAGTGATGTGGGGATTCATGGCTTAGGGCAGACGTTCGGCAACATGTTCTGTTGATCTTTCTTTTTTTTTCCTTTTTGGAAGCTGCAAATGAATTTATATTAATGTAGTTGCTTTAATGTCTGACTCAAGTTGCATATGACACTGCCATGTCGTGTAATAGACTTTTAGCATTTATTTTACTCCAATTAGAGATGATTTATTGATAGTGTAAAATAGGTTTAACACCGACAATTGTTAAATGCTCAAACTGTGTATAAATAAATCACCTGTTAGATCTGCATGTTATAGTAGTTGTTTCAGCTGTTCATCTTTGGAATTCATTTAAAAACTATAAGGAATAACTCCTGAACTCAAGAAAAGTGGTTATGAAATGTTTATTTTTAGCTAATTAGGCATTCAGTTGATCCTGTATTGTTTGTTGAACACAGAAAAAGTGATGGATGTGGTCATAGTCTCTTACAGAAAGCTAACTAGGGTGAGGAGCTTGGTCATCCGGGGAGGAGTCAGAGTAGAGCCGCTGCTCCTCCATGTTGAGAGGAGCCAGTTGAGGTGGCTCGAGCATCTGGTTAAGATGACTCCTGGTAAGGTGTTCTGGGAATGTCCCACCGGGTGGAGGCCCAGAGGGAGACCAAGGGCACGCTGGAGGGAATATGTTTCTCTGCTGCACATGGAACGCCTTGGGATTCCCAAGTGGCTGGGGAGAGGGACGTCTGGGGCTCCTTACTGAAGCTGCTACACCCGCGACCCAACCATGGATGGATGGATGGACTGTTTCATGTTTTCTCTAATTGTGGATAAAGACTATGTCTTTTTTTTTTTTCGGTAGCCCCATATCTTTACAAATGGGTTTGTAACTCATTCCAAACTGAAAGTTATCATCGGCTTGTGGAATGTGTTTAGTTGATTGTTTGACAGGTTACGTCTGTGAACTTATTTAAGATCTCGCCGTCACTTTATGGTTTCAGATTTGTTCTATTTAAAATGTGTCTAGATTGTACAGATGAGGCGGTAATCAGACTGTTGAGGGAATAAAACCCTTAGCTTCCCAACTTAATGGAAATAATCATAGTTGATGTATAATTCATGATGTAACAAGAGGAAATCATATTTTCACAAAATGGCAGAATGATCTGTATACTCTTTTTTTCATAACAAGTAACCTGTTTAAAAAGTGTTTCATTACATATCTTAAGGAGAATTGCGTCTAAGATTAACATTAGTTTCTATGATCTGAAGTCTACTTGAAACAGCAGAACTTTATGAGGGAGAAATCTGGCTTACACTGCAGTACCGTAATAAAATCTATCAAAATGCAAAATGGTTTTGGTAAAGAAGCACCTGTCTGATTTCTGAAAAGCTTAATGTCATTTCTCCTTCTTTAGTACATTGACGACACCCTGCCTCCAGAATCCCCATACCTGTATGGCCTTCATCCCAATGCAGAGATTGGTGTCCTCACACAGACATCAGAGAAGCTTTTCAGAACCGTGCTGGAGATGCAACCCAGAGACGGAGGAGTTGGTGAGGGAGGAGGAATGACAAGAGAGGAAAAGGTAAAGTCTGACACCTTTAAAATCAGTCTCATACTGAAAGAGGGCTCTCTTGATCTCATTCAGAGCATGTTGCAAAGTAGATCTTTAAATTATATAGCCCTATAAAAAAATATATATTGTTTGCCTGATCTGCAGGATGGGACTAAGGAAAAAAGATGCACATAACATTTTTTTATAAATAGTGATAATTATTGTCTTTGAACCCAAATAATAATTCTATTAAAAAAGAGAAAATGCCATAAGCTTTTCTTAGGACATTTTGACACATTTTGTTGTCTGATTTGTATATATCACTGCCCCTACTCAAAAGTTTAAGGTAATAGAAAATATGAAATTAAAGAAGGGAATAAGGTAAGCCATTTTCTTTTTTTTTCTTTTTTTTTTTATGGTTAGCCATTTTTCAAAGATGCTTATCTCCAACAATCTGTTAGTTGTTTACCTCGTGTGAAGCTAACCATTTACTAAACCCCCAAGCACTAAATCTGAAATGTATGATGACAGAAGGTGAGATTTTCACACAATGAGTTGAAACTAATTTTCAGACTGTTTTGGGCCTTGGAAAGCTCAAAGGTGAGAATTGTGGAGATGACATTTTCTGGTGTATTTTTTGGTTCAATACACCTCGAAATGAAGCTTATTTGAGTCTAAAAGTTCAAATAAATATTTTGGCAGGCACCCTGATCTTGCACAGAGGCTCTTATAGAAAAGTGACACTTTGGAAATCATAACAAAATGTTCATTGTTGTCTGACTTCTGAGTTTGTCAAAGTCATTTATGGGTACTGCTGCAAGCTGAAAAATCAAGGTATATTACTTTGAATTTCTGGGGTTTTATGAAGTTTAATCGTATATTATCATAATTTGATTAGCAGACAAGATGATAACGGAACTTTAAAATGCCTTGAAATGGAGCTGAGAATTTTTTTTTCTTTTTTTTTTCTTTTTTTTTCATAGCACTTAACAAATGAGCATTGCTGGATAGTGAATTAGATTGTGGCATTTTATTTATTCCTGACATGAATTTTCAGTTCAATTTAGATTTAAATTGTTTCCTTGTAAATTAGTCAATCTGTCAGTCATTAACAAAAGCTGAAACCCTGTTTGTTTGTATGTAAACCTTATAGGTGCTTACATGAACTTAGGAGATGGATTTAGCCAACTTATGCCTGACGTCCCAGAATCCCAGAATGGGGATGAAGTTCTTGAGCAGTACAGACAGTTTCCTCCTGTGAACCCCTTTTATACCAAAATGCTGCAAGTACGCCGTTATACAGTAGCTGTAAGTTAGAAACGCTTTCAGTGGTCGTCTGGAACACATGAAATACGTAAATATACGTTGGAGATAAGTTCTTGATAAGTCCGCATAAGTTATGCACAAGTTACTCATAGGTTTTGGATAATAACCAGACACCACGACTTATGAGTAACTTACACATAACGTGTCGACGTATGTCAACTTGCCGTATGTCAACATGTGCCAGCGTGTTTTGGCGTACTTCAGCGTGCTCATAACTTATACAAAACATACCATAACTTATCCAACATATGCCAGCGTTTTTGCCAGATTTTTCGTATGTCAGGTATACGCTGTCTAAATTGCAAGGTATGACAGGGGCTTTAGTAAGGCTCCATCCAGAAAGGCCTTCAGTCACCTTTCTTGCATTAACAGCTTGGGAATCATTTGAAAATCAACTATTTAACTCATATTATAAAGAGCCAATTTCCTATGGTTGTCAGCAGTGACGATCATTAGCATTACAGTAAAATGTCCCTGTTTTTTAATAGTACATACAGTACTTGCTTGGTTCATGGAAGGAGCAATAAAATATTTATGTTTTTATACAGTAATCTGAAGGACACAATAAAGACATGGGTGGATTCTGCAACATCATTTGAAATTGTCAACTTTAGTTTACCTATGTAGAAAAAGAAAGTCTAAATGTAAAACCTATGAGAGCGTGGGCCCTCATGAGCTGCTAAAGATTAAAGCTGTTCATATATGGCACATAATAGCTTTCCAAAGAACATCTTTAAAGTAACCATGGAATCAAAATGCATCTAACGTTTTTGCAGAGCATACCAGAATCCTTTATGGAGTTTAGACTATTACTGAACCAGATCACTTAGATTTTAGGGATTATTATCAAAACAACTCATAGAAAAATGTATGTCTGTCATCAGTTTTCAGTGTTTCTATTGGATCATTGGCCAATGTAATAGAAAAATAACATACCAAACCATGTTATAAACCCCAGCATAGATTCCCAATTGTATAAATGTCTTTGGTTTAAATGGGCAGTTTTAACACTTGAAAGTACTTTGACCTGAACAATTTAATGTTATTGGTTGTATGTTGAGGGTTTCCATCTCTTTGTACGATTAACATTCTGCACAGTCTCAAGGCTCTCTTATCCCCCCACAGCATCATTATGGCAGCAGCCCATTTCAGGGGGGAAGGCTTGTATTCAGGGTTAAGCTTTCTACCACAAATAATACATTTGTTGTCTAGAAAAACAAAAAAAAACCTCTATCTTACCATAACTAATAATAATTGAACTCACATTGGAGAAATTTACCCCTGCATTTAACCCATCCCCTTGGGGAGCAGTGGGCTGCCATTGTGTGGCACCCTAGGAGCAGAGTGGGGTTAAGTGTTTTGCTTAGGAGTGCAGGCTGTGGGGTTCGAACCGGATACATGCAACCCTCACAGAACACAAGCGCACTGCTCTAACCACCAGGCCAGCACTCCCTCCTAAACCTACTATGGATCTATATTTGAGTCCTCCAGAGTTACAGTACCCTGGGCCTCCTGGTACCTCTCTAATTACTGCTCTTTTTGCCTGGCCTGTCAGTTTAGGTGGATGCCAGTGTCTAAGTAATTTTATAGTTGGTTTGTGGAAAGAACAGGACTCAGATCGAAACCTAAACCTTGGAACATTGTTTATTCCCCAAATCTGCGTCAGATTTCTCGATTACTTTATTTTTGACCTGTCTGCTTTGTTTATTGGTTTCATGAAACTGATTCTTCACTAGTTTTCTTCAACAATCCAACGGGGCCATATAGATCAGCTGGTTTTATTCTGATATTTGGGTCCACACAGTGAAGTCTATTTTTTGTTTGGATGACCTCTAAAGGCAAACTGATTGCAGTAGATTTTTATTATTTTTCAAAGCTTGTTTTGCGAGTTACATTGTTTACTTTTGTTTTATCTGTTATTTTTTAATATTTATTTATGTAAAACAAAGAAAAATACTTAAGCTACCCCTGTATTTAAAATATAGCCATATACTGATGTATTGTTACCATGGTATTTTTTTATACTTAGAAAGATAGATTTGCTGAACCGGCTGAGGTATTGGCTCAGTTTGTCACATGGCCCTGTGGGATCAAACATTTTCCCGCTGAATGTTCTGTGGAGCCCTGGTGTGTATCCATCCTTCGATGTGTTATGATGTGACCTTTCTCACTGAAAAGACGGAGAACTCCTGTCTTAACAAAGCGCCATGCCGAGAGTATCAATGAGCCTTACTCTGTATTCAGAGTGCTTACTGGCTGCTGAACCCAAAACCGGCAATCTGAACAGGAAAATCCAATAAATATGATGACCTCGTATCCTTTGTTCAACCCCTAATCCGCTGATTGATCGCTCACACTGCCTCTTCTGAGAAACTGTTGACGAAGACATTACCTTTCCTCATTTACCCACAGAAATATGACGTGAACATTGATTTTGTGGGGAGATTAGACTATAGAAATTGAAATTTGTTGGGATAAAGAGATGGCACTGCAGAAAATCTCCTCATGAATATTTATGGCATTGTCTGTCTGAAACTAACTTCCAGGCTGCCTGTGTTGGCAAATATGAGTTTATCTGACTCAGATGGGCCATCTCATTTTTGTCACATTCTTAAATGGGAATTTGCCCTTTTGTTTTCTATCTCTTCCACTGGATCAGGTGCGTGCAGTCCTGGAGGACATTTTGGAGAAGCTTCCAGAGCAGTTTGTCATGGCAGAGCTTCTAGGGAGGGCAGAGGAGAGAACTCCATACCAAGTAGTGGCATTACAGGAGTGTGAGCGAATGAATGTCCTCACTCAGGAGATCAAACAGTCTCTCAGCAGCCTGAACCTTGGACTAAAGGTAAGATGGGGAGCTGAAAAGCTGGGTGGTATAGTAATAAAAAGTCAATAATCTGTTTGTATCTTAGTAAAGTTGTGAACTATTCTTTGTTTGTATTATTTGACATATTTAAACCTCTTTAATTTATTTTTGTACCATTCTGTCAAATAACTTTTGACAGAAATTGGTTGACAGGTCTTGGTTATAATATACTGTGATGTCAAAAACTTTTAAAGCCAAGCAACCAAGGGATTAAGACTATAAAACAGGAGGTGAGTGGTAGGGCAGAGGTTTCATTGCCACTAAGAAAAGCTTTATTAGGAGTTTATTTGGTGCACAGACCAGGCAAGGAGAGCAATAATCAGAGAAGCAGGAAAGATACCAATGTTTATTCCCAAGAAGCTGCAGAGATCCAAAGCACAGGTGGAGGATCTTTTAAAAGAACTACTTTTGGTACACCCAGAAACTCTGGCCTTTACAGAGGAGTAGCACTAAAGATTGCTGAAAGAAAGCCAAAATATACCTTCTGCATTCTAACAATAGCCATGCAAAAGGGAATCTGGACAGACTAGAGTTCATTTGAACTTGTTGCAAAGAAATATAATGTTCATCAAAGTGCAGTACATTCCTGAAATCCTTAGCCGTCCTCTCTTTTAGAGTATTACACAACAACAGAGTGTCTTCAGTCAGAGGCTTCTTGTGAGCTGCTGTAAGACAGACCACTACAGCTATCAGCATATAGAACAACTTGTTAAAAAAATCATGCTGTGGGTACTACTACTACTACTTTCTTCAAAATGGATAGGAAGATTGGTGGATATTTATACATTCCAAAACCGTCAATAAATAAGTAAAACATTCTTAAACCAAGTGTATTTATCCTTATTTAGGTAGGTAAATAAGATGATCTGCCAATGGAATACGTATTTTTACTCTTTTTTTTTTTACTTAGAATAAGATAATTAGATAATTGGCACTTGAAATAAGATAATGGAATTGTTTATTCTTATTTTAAGTGTAAATTGTTTAGTTCTATTGGCAAAGCGTCTCACATCCGCAATTTGAGACAAAAGGTGCTTATTTTAAGTAAAAATTACTTATTTGGATGTCAATTTTCTTTTAGGACGGCACAAGAAAACACCCAAACCAATAAGGAAATGACATAGCATGCATCCAGAGCTGTCATACATGTGGTGCAAAAGCACTTGCTTTAATTTGTAATGCATTTAAAAAATATTGCATCACATACACAGATTACTTTGATGGGTTACCAAAAAAGAAAGAAATTCAAATACAAAAAGTTGAAACTGTAATATTTTCTATCGATATATCTAAGTACTGTTACATGGGTCTGTAGAGTCTTAGATATGTGGCTTCAGATGAACAAAAACCAATGAGACATCTGTGTCAATGTGTCATACATGGCTGACTCATCTGTTAACACCGAATAGAAAGAGTAAGAGGGGGAAATGTGTCAACGTGTTTCTCAGGAGTTATGAGTCTTCGATCTCCCGGCTCTACAAGCTTCAATAAACTGCTTCAGTGATTTAAAAGTCGTGTCGATTATTGTAGCAGAAAATGGAATCATGTTTTGCCTGCATGGTGGAATAAGTAGGAGCTATCAGAGTGTTATCCTTGATGGAGTTTTGCAGTTTCATATTGTTTCAGTATGAAGGTTAGACCTAGTCAGGATTTTGAGCAGAGCTTTAAGTCAGGGGGGTCATGGGAAATATGTTATTGCTCTAATGCCCTCTGAAAGCTATATGTCAGATAGGGTATCATATATTTTATTAGATTTTTCCTCATACCTGTCTGGCTTTTTGCGGTCTTATGTCATGCATCCTCTATTATTTATGCTCCACTCTTTTGACACGTGTCTCCACTTAGCAGCACAGAATGAAAAGTCCTATAGTGAACCTCCAATCAGTAACCATCACTTATCAAAGAAGATCTGTGAATAGAACATACACACAGCAGGTACTTGAAAACAGATATTTGACAAACGGAAAGAACACAGACACTGAATTGTCCATTAAATTATTCATATGACACCAAGCAGGCTTTTCATAGCAATACAGCAAATAATGTGAACTAAAATGAAAACAGTGCTATGATGTATGACTAACTGCAATGAAAAGACTTGGGGGGGTTTCTGCTGCGTCATACCACTCATACAGCAATGTGTCATTGTGTCTTTTGTAAGCGATATGTAAAATAACAAATGAGTTAAATAAAATTTTTTAAGGTCAGGCATTAGCAACAACATAAAAAAATACAAATTAAACAGTGTAACAAGGGACATGTAAACCAAACCAGCTAATTTTAATTTATACTAAATTATAAATACAAATGAGACAGTTTTCTTTGGGATCTAAGATTCTGAAAAAATTAAAAGAGATAGAAACACTAATAGACAAAAACGAAAAATGTAAACCATGCAGTTTAGAATTGGTTGAATCATGTAAAGTGAATATTGCTAACAACAGCTCAGCCTTTTAATAAGACAATCTGCATTTGATTGTGGTAACTTTACAAAGTCTTAATTGTCTCTAAGGATGTCCATAGACTCCTGATCTGGTAATAGCTTTGACATAGATCTGAGACAGAGGGATCCTTGCAATTGCATAACTATTGGTAAGCAGAGTATGCAGTTGCTTAGGGGCCCCGTCACTGACATCTGTTAGGCCCCCTATGCAATTGTGGACTAGGACGTCTCTTTGCAGATGTAATGGTGCAAAACATTTTTAAAACTTTTAAACCCACCTGATACTAAATTAACTGACCGGACCTTATTTATACCCCAACGCATGCCAGATTTCAACATGATGGTGAACCGTTTAAATACGACACCAATGGCAAAGCAGACAGTGGTACTTTTAATTACTATGATAATAACTGTGTATAGTTCATTAGACGGTTGGTTAAAAAAAAATACACTCATATAATATTTTTCAATCCGCAATAAAGATCTTAAAAGAATGATGTATTTGAGTATTTTATTTTTTACACTACGGCTTGGAATTATGGTCGACCCAGAGTGTAGATTAAAACCATAACCATTATGTAAAATGTGTTAGCGACGATGGATACCAAAAAGAGGTACCGAAACGGATCCTTAAAAAGATCCGTTTCCTTCTGCTGGAAGAATGGAAAAAATAACAAAACTTCCAAAAAATAACACGTTCTTTCAAAGAACCAAAGAGGGAATGGTGGACGTTGCTGCTACAGTGAGAGAAGATTGTGACCAGGAGATGAATGGAGAGAGCGTGGATTAGAAGGGGGGCTGTGAAGCTCAAGGTAGCCCGATAAGACTAATTTTATAAAAGAATATACTAAAGTATATCCAAGTTTAGTGAAGGTGAAGAATGATGATGTTGGGGGTGTTACTTAGTATGGGGCCCACCCAGGTAATGTTGTTTACGGGCCTATTGTTGTGTCGTTACGCCGTTGGATCCTAGGACAGTTAGTAGGGTCATTTCAACAACCTTTTCTTCATACGGTTCACTTTTCATTTTCCCATGAATCTTTGACCCTATATATTCAAATCTAAACTCACACATTAAGTGTCCCTAATATGTGGTTCTTCATACTGTGTCATCACAGCTTAAACAACAACAGGCTGAATACACCTTTAGAAGGATTCGACTGAACTCTTGTTTCCATGTAAAGTTCATCGATGTTTCAAGTTCAGCTCACTGTGACATAAAATGAGGAAATAAGTATTTACTTTGGAAAAAAACGAAATATTTCAGCTGTATAACTCAGATTAAAGAACATATCAGGATATTGTATTTAATTAACTATAGTTTTACTGAACTTGACCCTTCCGTTTGGGATATCTTCTTTATATATTAAACAGAGGCCAAGGAACTGCTTTGTCTTAAAAGTATAAGAGGATATTTTTTGTGTCTTGAAAGTCAATGGAGTATTCAAAACCCTGAATACTCAAACCCTGGTTTATCACATTATTAATGACTGCCCATTTAATGTATCCTGTAGGATGCTTTATGTGTATTCATAACAAAAGCCAAACAGGAGATAGAATTTTACTCCCCCAGGTGAGTAGGGGCGCTCTTGCCATCTATCGTTCCTGGAATTGTGCCCTGCCAGGTCTGCTAAATACCAAAATAAGGATTAGCTAACCCTAAATGTAATTAACAAGCAGCTGCTTCGGCTTTGGCAGCACCATAAAACCACATCTTAATCATTTCACTCTAAATTACTTGCAAAGGAACCTGTAAGACCTGCAACCACACGCCTGTGCTACTTTACGCTACCGTCTGACCTTTGGATAGCATTAGTAAATATTTAACCATCTCTCCAAAGGAAAGTGTCAACCTTCGTGTGGCTTCCAAGCCCTTGGCTTCCTCTTAATCCCGCTGGTCTATTTTCCAAAAAACCGCATGCTCATACTTTAATAAAAGGCATTTTCTCCCCTTGTACACTGCCTGAACTGCTCATCTTATCAACTGAAATAAAGGTCCTGGAGAATTAAGTGGATGTGAACATTTGAAAGTAAATTTTCCTGGGCCTGAATAAATTAGATTTAAATGGCCAAAAATAAGTTCACCATAAAAAATCCCCCAAAAAACAGATGTTTACATACAAAACTTCTTACTTTTCCCGTATAATAAATATGGTAGAATAAACATAATAAACGGTAGTAACAACATCATCTTGGTTAAATATGTAGCAAGTTCTGTGTCCATACAACAAGAAACTGAGAAGTTAAAGATGTTTAGGTTGTAAAAAAAATACAACCAGACCATTAAATGTCCTATTTTGGAACAGTTTGGCACAAATTCTGAAATTTGGAATTTATTATTTGAAATTTAAAAAAATTAGTATGCTGTTATATATTTTGTTAAAAAAATACAGTTTTCCATCCAAACATTACAAGTTACATTTTTTCCACCACTCTTTATTCATACACTGTAATAACGGATTATGGCATATACAAAGCTAAGTAGAAAAAAGATTTCATACCTCTTTGGAAAGGTAGCATTCTAGAGAATCTAATGATATGCACAAATTTGAGATGGACGGAAGTTATTTTGAATTGTATAAATTCTAACCATAAATTCTAACCATAAAGGTTTTAGCCAATATCTGTGTTTTTCTGTTCTTCACACAGGGAGAGCTAACCATGACCAGTGAAATGGAGAATCTGCAGAATGCTATCTTTCTGGACATTGTCCCAGATAGTTGGACCAAACGAGCATATCCTTCCAATTCATGTTTGGCGCTGTGGTTTTGTGACCTCCTGGCCAGGATCAAGGAACTTGAAGCCTGGTCGTCTGACTTTCTTTTACCCTCTACTGTGTGGCTGGCTGGCTTCTTCAACCCCCAGTCTTTTCTCACAGCTATCATGCAGGCCATGGCTAGAAGGTAGCATAGATTTGATTCAGGACAAGAATCAACAAGTTAGTAGGTTTAGCAAAATAACTTGTTTCTGTTTCATTTCTGATAGGAATGAGTGGCCTCTTGACAGCATGTGTCTACAGTGTGATGTTACAAAGAAGAACCGTGAGGACTTCACTTCTCCTCCTCGTGAAGGGGCTTACATACACGGATTGTTCATGGAGGGAGCAAGATGGGATCAACAGGTACAAGACGAGAGACACTCAAAAAAGTTCTCTATTTTTTTTAACCCATAATTTAACAAAATGCTAATATTTAAAAGCAACTTCTTAAACTGCAACTAAGCTTTGACCCTGGCGCTCAAACCAGATTTGAAAACTTCCACTAACTTGGACTATACCAGAGTCATTAAGGGTCACAGCCATGTGGGGAAGAGAAGAAGGGGTTAAGTGGGAATGCAGTTAGGAGGACAGAAATTTACAGCTATTTTTATGTAAATGAATAATCTGAATACCTAAAATAAATGCTGATTAAATGGTAAATCCAATTTGCAACTTGTGTGTCGTAGTAAGATGGTTTCAGGCTGCATTCCATTTGTATTTAGAAGTTGTAATTTCATAAAGTTCAGTGTATTTATCATTGTTATGATTGTAACAGTGGTCAAAGTGTCCATATATGAGCAAGGGGAATAAAAGCATCCACAATCAACAAACTGGAAAGATATCACCTCTGAGATTACTTCAACTGTCCAGTTCTAAGCTAAATCAAATGCACCATTATACTCAAATGCAGGGTGGTGATGTTGAAATAGAGTTGGACATCGTTGAATTTGAACAATTTCATTTCTGATTCCTTGTTCTGAATCCCATTTTTAATTGATTCTTAATTAGATTTTTTATTTCTAGAGGAAGAATTATAAAAGTTTACATGTTATAAATGATGTCTAGATGGAATTTTCTAAACTAATAATTTATTTTTTATTCAGTGAATATTTAACTTTTTATAAAAGTTGCCACAAAATAGCTCAAGATATTTTCATTCAGTAGGTGCAGTGCTTCAAACAGGAGTCTCATCCAAGCAGCTGCTAAAACAAAGGATTTTATCCAAATAACTGCAGTTTTAGCTTTGGTTGTTTTCTGTCTTGTCTTCTGGTAGGTGGACTGGGCATCGAAACAAGGAATCAAAACTTTATAATTTGAAGGATTTCAAGAAAATCGCTATTGTCCAACTCTATTTAGACATGTTCCAAAATGTACTGTTTCAACCAATAGGACAGTTTCATTGCAGTACCATGTTACATCAACCCATAGAGGACAGCACTAAGTCAAAGTTAGAGCCGAATGTAAGGGCCTATTTTAGGCTATATTCCAGCTGTCTGCAACAATTACAAAACCATGTTTTTGATGATCTGTCACACTTTGTAAATTTGTCCACTTCTTTTCAAAACTATAAAAATATTTAGTTTTGCCTTATTTGTCTTGCCATATTTTTCACTTACCTGTATAGTTTTACTATACTCTTAATCTTCACCTCGCTTTTACTTATTCTTACATATAATTCAGTATCAGTCTTTTTGCAGCAGACTTTGCATATCCATCGGCCAACTCATGTCCTATAAAACCATTATGTACAGAGACTCATACCGGCCTTATTTATATACTATTATTTGTAACCCTTAATACTTAATTTCTAGAATATTTTTGCCTTGAAATCTAAATGCATGCTCTGAATTATTCTATTAATTTCTGGTTTATTGTTCATTTTGTTGATATTTTGGTTTCCTATTGCCTTCTTTTCACAGCTGCACCGCATCACCTAATCAGACACATCTTTCTTTTTTTATTTTATCATTCCTAGTCAATATTATTCAGTGTCTCCTGAGGTTTGTGTTGTTTATTTATAGTTTTCAGTTATAAAAAATAAAAAAACAACATATTTATACCCTTTGCAGTTAAAAGAAAGTTCAGCCTTTTCTTATTTTTATGTTTACTAAGTCTAAAGTTAACTGTAAAGGACACACAGTAGTCAACACGGCCATTACTGAAAGAATGCCCTTGATATCTTTACTGAATTCAAGAAGGAAAAAAAAACATCCAGGTGCCCCTGATCAATTGCAGTCATAAGCTAATCAAAACATCTCCATAAAAGCAAGAATCTGCGCGCTCCTTTGGAGTGTTTGTTTATGTTTGTTAACGCAGTGCCAAAAAGGTAGGCCATGTGCAATGACTTTGCTTAGTATGGGAATAATTAGCCTTTTTTTATAATCTGAAGCCAAATGCTCTGCATTAAAGTAAAAAAGTATATTTGCATATTATGTTAAAAATAATCATACATTTCATGCTTAGTCCTATATATGATGGTGATTTAGCCATGTTTTGCAACATAGGACATGGATCCTTGCAGCTTTGTTTAAGCTATTCAATTCTCTGTATATTGTAAACAAGTTTGTTTGTCAAATGTGAACAGCTACAGCCAGACTCAACATCAACAAAAAAATGAACCCAAACAAAGCTCCAAATCCACAACAGAATAGTTGTAATAATAAAATAACTAGTGTGTTGAAAAAACACCCAGTCAAACATCCAAAACAGTGCAGTGATGGTGCAAGGGCCTTATGACTCATGTAAGGAGGCTTTGGTCCTCGACGCGACCATCACAGGTTGGTGATCTTTGCTGCATGTCTTCCCCCTTTCTCCACTCCCATTTCCTGTCTTTCAAATATAGCTCAAATAAAGGCTGCTAAAATTAATAATAAAAATAGAATATCCAGAATTCAACCTAATAGAAATCATGAGCTGAAGACACTTTGTAACAAGAAATGGGGAAGATTTTCTACAAAGATAAGAGAGATGGATAAAGTCCGACAGACAAGGATTCCTCAGAGTTTTAATGATAACAAAATACTAAACATTGACCAGTACTTAATTTTTCCACAGAGAATCAATTCAATAGGCTACATAATGGCACTATGGAATCTGCTCTCTGTTTCTGTGCACTTAAATAAAATAAAAAACTGGAAAACCTTATAAAACAATACAGTAGTTATGTAGATAAATGTGTATTTTCCTGTTACTGTGACTCTAAAAGGTATACCATATATTAAATATAAGTATCTTTGCTGTGATTTTGATGATGCAGCACAGACATAGGAACATAAGGTGAGTTAACTTTAAGATGCACCTTTAAACAGAGTCAAGTAAATGAACGTCCCTCTGAACCCAAAGTAGTAGCTCAGCATTCCCTTTGTGGCTTCATTTTCTGCTTTAAATCCTGCTTGTGTCCGGCTCTTGGAGTGCAGTACATTACTCAGCTTCCCTGGACTATCTATCTACATACACCCAACCACTGTATATGCACTAAGCTCTCAAGGAGTATCCCTGTAGACTTCTTAATTAGGGAATGTGCAGAGTGCGCACTTGAACACTTAGATCACACTTTAGAGGAGTGGATCTTTTTTTTCTTCATTAAACCTGGAGACGCATGCAAATAGACAGGCGGAGAGACAGGCCAGCCAGCTCCTTCTCCTCCTCCTCCTCCTCTGCTCACATCTTCCTCTCAGCCTCAAGGCCAGCTCTGTACCACTGGCAAAGAGAGTGAGCACTCCATCTGGACACGGTTCTATGAAGCAATAAAAGTCAAAAATTTATGATAAACTCACTCATCTATATTAATGAACCATGCCTTTTGTTCATTAGGGGTTAGGCATCCAATCCTGTAAGGCACAGAACAGCTACAGATTACCCTGTGAAACAATACAGATTTATGTTTATGAGTAACTTTTATTGGTCTTAGATACTTCTCTCTCAAATTATGTTGCAAGATTATATGATATAAACAGATGTGTTTCCATAGAAACAGTTTATTGAATCAATTTTTTTTATAATTTCTTTGTGCATAGTAAGTAGGCCAAAGGACTCGCTTTAATTTACCCAAACAAGCTTGAAGTTTGGGATACAGTATTAACACATCTTTTAAGTTTGAGAGCAGTTGAATAAGCAATTAAAGCTTTGTCCTTTGAGCTTTTACCAAAGTCATCAGGGTTTATATTCCTTCCTAAAAGTCACCGCGCATTCATGGAGAAACTTGTTTGTCAAGCACCAAGTGTGGAAGGATTAATTAATGAGACAGACCACTCAGACTCGCTGTGTTTAGTAAGGATGTTGTGGGGGCAGACTGACTTTGAATTCAACTTTCCTGACTTTCCCCACTTTTCCAGGATAATGAAACACTTTGTTCTGAAAATAAAGTAAAAAAAATCCCTTTTAGTCTACCATCTGAAGACTTTTTTGTCGCGTTAAAGCCGTAAATGTCCAAGCTTATTTGGGGAGTTTTGTGTGATTGAACAAACTTTAAGTTTACCAATAAAAACATTGATATTTTATGTATTCATTCCCCCTCATCTTTGACAACCTTCTATAAAATCCAGTGCAGCAAATGTCCTTCAGATTTTTTTTTTTTGGTTTTGAGCATTCCATGTGAAGAAAACTTGCGAGCTATGCTGTATGTCTTTTTCAGTTGCCTTACTACATCAAAAGAGAAACTTCAACATTGCCATGTTGAATTGGTTCCGAGCTCGAGAAAATAAGCTGTTTCTAAGGCTATTTGTTGTGGATTGTGGATGTAATCCTGTTCAAACATCGATGGAAGTGAAATAAACATAGCATTTCCTGGGATCTGTGGCCCTTCTCTTACTTGTGAAGGGGAAACTAATGCCGGGCATACACTGTGCGATTCTTTGCCCTTTTTGGGGGATATTTTCCAGTCGTGCGAGGATTTTTCGATCTTTCAGCCTGATCGTGCATTGTGTTGTGTACGGGGCCGATCAGCCTCTTCACAATCAAATCTAGATCAGGAATCGTGATGTCGGGAAAAAATTGATGTTTTTCAGTTGCCCGTTATGGGCAAATCGCTCAGTGGGCATGCGCAAACAAGGATTTTTCTTCTTCCTCTCAGATGAAAACACAGAAGTATGGCGGGGGTGCACGTAAAATGGAGTTCTTTATGTAAAATTGACAGACCGTGTTAGCCACGTTTGCTCAGCCATGTCTTTGTCCAAATACGTTGTTGCCTTTTCTTTTTAGGGCTTTCAGCACAGAATTGCACAAATTGCCAAGCAGTGTGTTTCAGTCTAGTGAACTTCATATTCCTCTTCTGCTTGCTTGGCTTCCAGATAAGACGAGTCCAAGTAGCAAGTAGCTGTAGCTGCGTGCAACGATTGAAAAAAATAAAAACGCACGGTGTATGCCCGGCTTAAGTCCAGATGTAAAAGGTAGCCTCTAACAATCTCCTGTCCTGTCCTCATCACTAGCAGGGCTGAGAAAAGAACACCACAGAGTTGAGGATCAGTGAAGTAGATTTAAATTTCCTATCCTAAACACCTGGGGTCCTGCTCATTAGAAAGTCATTGATCCATTAGAAGAGCTGTGCCGATAATCCCAGGTTGTGGAGCTTCAGGGCCAGCATGTCCTTAGGGACAGTGTTGAAGGCTGAGCTGAAGACCATGAATAGCATCCTAACATCGGTGTTAGGATGCTGCAGATGATTCAGGGCCCTTTGGAATTCTCTCTGTAAACCAAAACTGTATTCTCAACTCTTAGAAAACCAGGTTTAAAAATAAAATAAAACTTCTCACACTCAACATGTATGACATAAAAGCTAATGTTTAGAAGAGATGACAAATCCCACGCCGGGAAAAGTGATTAGTTCTTTGTTGTGTTCAACAATCTCCAGCTTTTTAGTTGTTTTTGTCCACGCCTCATATCCTCTCTTTTGTTTTTCCTCTTTGTTTCAGACTGGCTTGATCGTCGATGCACGTCTGAAAGATCTTACTCCAACCATGCCTGTTATCTTCATCAGGGCCATTCCAGTGGACAAACAGGAAAACAGAAATGTCTACCAGTGTCCTGTCTATAAAACCCGTCAGAGGGGACCCACATATGTGTGGACCTTTAACCTGAAGACGAAAGAAAAGCCTTCCAAGTGGACCTTAGCTGGCGTTGCATTGCTCTTGCAGATCTAGGCATCATTAGACACAGTGTCTATTGTGTGAACTGAAATTCTGTTTGAGCCAAATATTTTAAAATAATAAATGTTGATATTTTAAAGTAAAAGTAATTCAGTTGTTTTAAAGGGAAACCTTTTATTTAGTTTAAGTACAAAAAAAAAGCACAGAATGCGTAGAATTAGATTATTTTTGGGATTCACAAAACAGGCCTAAAGTAGGGGGTACTGAACTTTTGCTAATTTTTTCTGAAACCATTTCACCACCTATGCAATTTTAAATTCTGGTGTTTTTGCATTAGAGCACAGGCATGTTGTTTTGAGGATTTTTCTTTTAGCAAGTATGCTTTTTAGGAAAAAGACGGAAATTTTCAAAATTGTAATTTACCCCCTGAGCACCTACTAATAAATTCACAATCCTTCAAACTCATTGAGTCACTTCACTGCTCTTTTACAACAATTAGAAAAATTCAGCATTTAACCAAGATCATGTTGTCTCAGGTATCATTTCAGATCATAAGTGAAGATACTCTTGTAATTTCAGTGTTTTTTTTATTTATTACTAAATCTGTCGAACTACTCTGGGTTGTTTTATATTTTAAAGCATATAGGAAATAAAAACACTGAAATCTGCAGGTCAGATCTGAAGGAAAATTGAAAATCAGATTTAAACAAAATAACTTGAACTCTATTTGTAAAAAATCCCTGTTTGCATAAAATACTGTGAACTAGACGCCACCTTCAGCTTTGTCAGGAAGTCTGGAAATATGTGAAAGTTTTAAATGTGAAACCCTTTGAAAATAATGTTTTACCTGGCAGCAGCCACAATGCATTATGGGTAAAGCCTGATTAAATCTGAACAAAAGGAACAGCAGGTTGTTTGAGAGGAAAGGTGGGTGTTGCCAGAGGGCGTCATCTTGACGAATAAATATCCACTTACCTCTGATTTTGCTCCGTCTTTCATCGTGTGATGAATAATTTGTACCAAGCTAGTTTTACAGTATAAGAAGATGCTCAAATTCAACACAGGTTTTGGGTTTATTATTTAGATATTACATAAAAGAGCTAAAAAAAAAATCTAAAATAATGATATGAAATAAAAAACAGAAAATAAGCAGTCCCCAGTCAGGACCTTTATAAATATGCACAATAAAAAATGAGACCAAAATCATTTGAAAGCTATTTCTAATGTGACACTGTAGCCAATATAATAAGGAAAACATTTCTGATGGAGCAAAAATGAAGAAGCTTCAACGACCTGATTGCATTCGTGTTTAGACCAAACTACCTTTTTATGCTGGAACTGTTTGGGGATTCCCATCAAAACCTTGGAGGAGACTGTATTTCCATTTAGAAGCACAAAATGTATTTTCTATAACCATTTATTTATTCACTCATTTGAGAAATTGTAATCTACTTTGCAATGATTGTTCTCTTTCAGGACCTTTTTAAAATAAAGATGTTTTTGATGCACTTTATTGTATTTGTGTGTTTTTTTTTTTATAGGCTATATCAGCACATAAGTATTCAGTTCTTTTTCCTATCTGGTATTTCAAGTCCCTCAAACCTACATCTTCCTCCAAGTCTTTAAAAGTACTCTTTTTTTCTACTTCTTCCACTTCTCTCTTTGTCGTCACTCCTTCCTATTAAAGATAAAACAGCTTCCCCAAAGCAAAAAGTATGGAGCCTCTAAGATATTCCCATATGTACAGTAGAGACATGTACACATGCTACAGTATATCCCAGGCTTAAAGCTCCCCTCTATCTCTTCCATGTCTTTCATGTTCTCTCAGTGCTGAGCCCAGGTTTCCTGGCATCTCCCCTATCTGGTTACTGGAGAGTCTTAACAATGCACCTAGAGACACAAGAGGAGGAGGAAGAGGAGAGGGAAGATGTAGGGTGACACAATTTATGTGGCTCTTCTGAACAACAGTCTCTGATGGTACTATGAAAATGGAGCCTACGGTCGTGTGCAGCTGCATGCTGCCTTGTTCTAAAAAGATCCTGCTGCCTAGATGAGTATATGAATGTGCAAAGATGAGGTATTTCAAAATCCCTTTCATTGATTTTACAGTGGTTTAAACTAACAGATGTATCATTTGTTTCAACTGGCTTTAAAAGAGTTGGGGGAAAAAACAACAATTTAAATGTTTTTCCTTTTCAAGGGGTACAAAGTAACGATACCAATCACATCCTTTGTTAAAATGGTGATCATTTTGCCTGATAAATCCCCAATGATTTTTAATCATTTACTTTGGTGCACGAGTTTCAATTCACCAGCCACATTAGAGTTTGATTTCTGCCTATTTTGTAGAAAAATAGAAACACAAACTGCAACTCTTAGACAGCATGATATGTTTACTATACATGCCTTATGCAAAAGTTTACAAAATAACCTAGAAATGTGACTTTAGAACACAGTTATGGTACCACGTTGTTGAAGATTAAACCATAAATACAATGGGAAATAATGGCATCAGTTGGGAATTTCAAGGCTCATTCTTTTCACAAAGACTTGTTTTCTCTGTCATGGCAGCCCCATGACATTACTTGTTATTTGGTTTGGAAGACAATTTTCCCATAAAGGGGGAGGTTGGTTTGGTTTTTCACAAACTTTTGTTTTTACTCAAGCTATTTGCATAAGCTTTTAGAAATTGTTTGATGAACTTCTTGCTGTTCCTGGGTCGATTCCTGGCCCGAGGTCTTTCTGCATGGAGTTTGGAGTTCACCCTAAGCATGCTTGGGTTCTCTCTGGGTACTCCGGCTTCCTTTCACAGTCCAAAAACATGACTGTAAGGTTAATTGGCGTCTCTGAATTCTATCTAGGTGTGAGTGTGTGCTTGAATGGATGTCCGGTTTGTCTCTGTGTTGCCCTCCGATGGACTGGCGACATGTCCATGGTGTACCCCGCCTCTCGCCCGTAGACAGCTGGAGGTAGGCACTAGCACCCCTCGTGACCCCGCTTAGGAAAAACATTATGGAAAACGGATGGATGAATGAACTGAAATATATAAATACAATGTTAGAGCCTCTCTCCATTAGCAACGGCATCTTGATATGCCATGCTTTTATTATGTAGGATTCTTTCCCAATCTTTAAATTCCTCATATCAGTGCATACTTCAGGAAAAAGCGAAGAAATAAATACTAATATTTATCAGATGATTGCATAAGGTCTGATGTTCACTTTGGAGCAAAAGGTGCATAAGAACTTGACAAAGCCTCTTAATACAGTATGGAGTCTTCATAAGTTTGACCATATTAGTAATCTTTCTACCAAAGCTCAAAAACAGGGATGATTTATGTTTTCCCTGCTAGATGCTGTTCTAGTGAAACTGTAAGGAAGAGGTGCGGGGATCAGAAGTGTTCATGCTTGGAATGAAAGAGCAGCTACCTTTAATAGTCTGCTTGTGTGAGGTATTTGATATAAAGCAGTTGCTAGGTTACAGGTCAGTCCAGCATAGCTAATGCAAAACCTGTAGAGATTTTATGGTGTATATGATATTTAAGCAAGCAGAGTTTTGGTTTTAGAAAAATGTGATAACATCATAGTTCAGCAGTAACAATAACTGTGGAGATACCTAGACTGTGGATAGTTCCTTCCATAAAATAAGTTCATGACATGTTATAATTCACTTTGTGACCTTCAAATGTATCTTCTGAATGCAGCAGTAAATGACCCAAAATGGACCACTTGCAACCACTGGTGTCCTCTCAGACCCCTTACTTTTTCCAAATATTTAATCACTGGCTTTCTCTTTTTTTACTCGCTATCAACATGTCTGGTTTTACTGCTTTGTACTTTGAATGTAATGATGATCTTTATGGCCAAACAGTGTCATTTTTAATTTAACTAGACCACAGGACATGTTTCCAACATTTGATTCTTAATCTCTGCATTATTTGCCAACATTAAATAGGCTTTCTATGTTGTTATGAGTAATAACTTGTCTTAGTGTAGTATTTATACTTAATAGAACTATTTAAAGGCACATCATGTAACTTTTTGCAACTAGGGAGGCTAGAGCTGAAACTTTCACACCTAGCGGTCTAGGGCTGATTATACTCCTGCCATATTGTGTCTCAGTGAGCTTGATGCAGACATTTTTGATTTATGCTCAGTTTTGAAGCGTGGTCTGCTCTGAGTTATATCCCACTCCACAACGGCACAATCACGAACTAACTGTGGATCTAGATACAGCCGAGGCGGTGAGGAACTGGGGGCAAGTTTGTCCGACAATGGAGGGACATGAGGGCGAAAAAGAGCAGGGATCCAGTGTGAAAAAGGGTCACAGCGTTCTCGCGCATTTCACAAGTCACTTTCCTCAATGGCGATCATACAAACAAAACAAGCCGGCAAGCAGATGTAGATTTGACCAATCAGAGGCCTCCTGTCTGCGCCACTGTCTGCGGTCACCTACAATTTGGGAGAGGTGCAGCAGAGTGTCTGTGGAAGGGGTGGGAATGTCTTTGTGTTCACTGCGACACCTATGCAGACGACCTAGTTTTGAAGTATAAATCAGCCTTTACTGCACAGAAGCCCAGCAGTACTGCTGCAAAAGTCAGTCAGCTAGCCAGTCTCCCATGTCTTTTGATTGGGGACCTTGCTACAGTAAGCATCTGGGTTCAGCTCGAAGAGTATGAGAAACGCTGCTACTCTTTGAAGAAAATCGCCGGTGTAGCACGGCGGAGCTCCAATGAAAAGCCACTGGGTGGGGCGTTCTTCCAGGTCACATGACCTGGCCAACGGCTTTGCATCTTCTCCCAACCTACATTGACGTATTTCAAGAGGGGAGCCCCACTCGTAGTATTGATAGTGTCAAGCACTGTATATTGGCCTCTTGAATCATTTAAAATTACTCATATGCTTCAACTCTTTAGGTCACAAAGTGACCTAAAGTGGGGAGTGGCGGCCTAGTGGTTAGGGCATAGGGCTTTGAATCCTGAGATTGTGAGTTTGATCCCCCACTCCCACAGACTGCCACTCTGGGTCCCTAAGCAAGACCCATTGTGCGGCACCCTCCCCGGGTGCCGCACAATGGCAGCCCAGCCCACTGCACAATGGCAGCCCAACCCAAGGGGATAGGTTAAACACAGAGAATTCATTTCGTTGCTCTGTACTTGTGACAATGGAAGGACAATAAAGTCTGTCGTGTGCTGTTAAGTAATGCTGCTTGGCAGGAAACAGGAAAAGGTTTGGTCAAGTTTAATATCAACCATTTGGGTGTTATTATCTGGACTTAGCACTGCAGACCACTTGGAAAATTTTTATCAATGTGTTTGAAAATTAAAAATGATCCAAGCTTTAATTTGGAAATGGGGGAAAAGTCTCATGTTGAATTTTGAATAAAAATTAAAGTAATAACAATTTAATGAAGAGATTATAGTTTACAAGTTTTTAAAATACTGTCTGTTACATTTAAATCCTGGTTTAATCAAGCTCTATACTTCATTACAGATTTGATTATTTTGTATATTTCTAAGACAGTAATTTGCTCCTGAACTACTGATTTCTCCCTCAGCTTTAAAAGTATAACAGAAAGTAGTGGGGGGAGCATTGTTTTTGCTCCCTGTATTTAATGAAACATATCAGTCCAGTGTCTCCATCTAGAACTAATTTTGACAAGATTTCCCAGCTTCCAAAAAATAAACAGCTACACACAGATTTCATAAGTGCTTCCTTTTATAATGCCTGATCTGACTCAAATAAACACGTCCCTTTTGTTATATGTTTTTTGTTTTAATAATAGAACAATTACAGGCCTATCAACAGGCCCATCTAAAAACCTCCCCATAATTATTAAGTCATTTAAAAACTTCCTTACCATCCCCGGTCACTTTGACATGTTTCAGCCAGATCTCCATGCTTGCCGCAGCACAGAGTCTCCCTCGTCGAAGTGTAATAAGACATCTGCATAAAAACAGATTGAGAAAGAACCATCAAAGACCAAAAACAATCACATGTAGTGTTCCCCAAGGATCCATCCTGGACTCTTCCTATTCAATATCTACATGCTTCCTCTAGCTTAAATTACAGTAGAAAACTACTCAACAATAAGTAGATTCGATTTTTGCAAAACATTTCTGCCTTAAATGTCAAAGAGCTGCTGTTGATCTAGAATGCTGTTGCCCGCATCTTCACCAAAACTATAATATATACTGTTTTAAAATCCTTTTTCTGCTTCCTGTGTGTGAAAGAATAGACTTTAAAATACTATTTTTTTTTTTAAATACTACTCTGCATGCCCAGAACCAGAATCAAACATGGAGAGGCAGTTTTTAATTATCATGATCCACTGATCTGAAACAAATTCCCTGAAAACCTCCTGTATTCTTTTTGGAGTGGCCTTGATTTAGTTATTTAAACATTAGTAGTGTAAGTTTTAAAACCAACTTTCTTAACCTGCATAATAATTTTTAAAATTATTGTTTATAACAAATTTATCAACTATATTTCCATTTACTTT